AAGAATTTGTAGAAAAGACTCTTTTATGTCAAAGTGAAACAGATTTCTACAAAGTAATGCCAATTTAATAAAAATATAAAATGTAAAATACATGATTGCACAATTTAATACAAGTGCAGCCAGTTGGTGATAGAAGTCACACAATTAGTGGAGTGGAGATCATCTAATTGCAGCAAAGGTGGCTCGGTGGTTAGTATGGTTGCCTCGCAGCAAGAAGGTCGGCGGTTCACGTCCTGGTGAGGACACCCGGGATCTTTCTGCGTGGAGTTTGCATGTTCTCCCCGTGCAGTGTGGGTTCTCTCCTGGCGACCTGTCCGGGGTGTCCCCTGCCTTCGCCCTAAGTCAGCTGGGATAGACTCCAGCCCCCCACGACCTCAGTGAGGATTAAGCGGTGTATAGATAATGGATGGATGGATGGATGGATGATTGCAGCAAATGAGTCTTAAGTGATTGTAGGATAAAGACACCTGTATCTGGAAGGTCCAGTCTCTGGTCAATCAGGGGATTGATACAAGAAAATTTCCAAGTCATCAAATATCCCTTGGAGTGAAGTTAATTCTATCATAAAGAAATGGAAGGAATGTGCCTAAGAGCAGGTTTCCTCAAAGAACTGAATGACTGTGCAAGAAAGGGACGAGTAAAGGAGGCCACCAAGACACTTACGACTCCTCTGAAGGTGTTTTCAAGGAGTATTTGATGTTAAAAAGTAACATAAGAGGGAAACTTTTTATATGCTCTGTAATCACGACTAAACTTTTTTTCATCTCTAACCCCCATGAGCTCGCCACATGTTTAGACCGGCTGAGTTCAGCATTGAGTTCGGCTCATTTAGTCCGGCAATAAACACTGGCAGAAACTACAGAAAGTCCCCCTCCAGTCAAAAATATGTTTTTCTTCCTTATTTTACACTTTAATGTTTGAGCTTTTATTGTGTAAAGTCTGACACTAGATGGCTGTTTTCACACTGACTGAAGAAAGTGTGAGTTTGAAATATCGAAACACTGATTTCAAGAGGCGGGAAAAGCCACACCTGGTCCAGTACTCGCCATACACAAGTATGATAGAGAGACACAGAGAGGAGACCTTAGATGTTTTATCCAGAAATTAAACCTGTGAAATGAAAAATAATAGCACATTTCCACATTCTGGAGTATGTGCCATGAGGTTATTTGAATCTGTAATCTGCAAAAACCATGTAAGACACACATTAAGAGTATTTTTGCGTGCCTTAATACATGTGTGCACAACATTTTCAAACCCTTTTCACCCTGAAGGTCCTTGTATATTGGTTTAGGAAGGTTCCTAAGTGGACCAGGAAGTATTGAGGTGGCATCCCTTTATAAAGAGAAGTGCCTCTCTTATCTCCCTTTGTATAGGAGAAACTGGTCCAGGAGGAAACATCGTATCACAATTCGTATGAATACCAACAACATCCCTCTACATAATTATGTAGCCGTGTTTAACTGCAGTCAGATTCTTTTAACTCTCTTGTTGTTTCCTTTGTCCTCATGAGTCCTCCTTCACCTCCTTCCTTGACCTCATGGCGTCTTCAGAGAACAGAGTTCGTTTGTTTGTTTTTTTTGACTATTCAACTGCAACCTATGACCAAGCTGCTTTCAAAGTGCAACCTTCTGCCTTCTTTCCGAGGCTGTGAAGCTTTGCATATTCAGTGAAGAGCCGCCTGCCTATTTGTTGCGCTCCGCTTCTGTTGCATCAAACTTTAGCTGTACTTCAAACTTTTCAGAAGAGGTTCAATAATATCGGTTTCTCTGCCTCGCTCTTACAAGGCTGTTATTTACTCTTTAAATTTTGATTCAGTCAAAGGTAAAAATGTGAGTTTTCTTCCCCACAGAGCCCCGTGTTGTTACTGATTGGGTTTGGGGATGTTTTCTTCTCATCGTTCTGCCCTCTGACTGTTTGGCAACCAGTCAAAATGACAAATGACGAGATGTCAGCATGACATCAGATCCCCAAGTTGTTTTTCTTTGCGTTACAGTTTCTGACAGTATGCTGTTGTGTGTTGATGTAATAACTGATAGCAGGAAGCCACCTGGATATGGAGGCGTCTTTGAATTCACGACTAGCGAGAGTTTTTAAAATGTTCTCTGCTCAAGAGAACCACATTTTTGACAGAAAATGATGGACACCAAAGATTTAACGACCACTAGTTTGAACACTTGAAGGAAAAAGCAGTTTCGTACCCATTGTTGGCAACTTGTTGATCTCAAATACGACAAGAAATGAGTTTACTTTTACTTCACTGTATATGCATACACAGATAAAGCTTTATTATCAACTTTGCATGAAAATTGATATTTGCAGACTTTGATCCAGTCGCTCCTTCCCTCAGAAGATATCTGGCAGCATTATCGCTCTGTTTGTCTCTTCTTGTAGCTCTCAAGTCAAAGACAAGACTGCATCTGCACACTTCTCTGCTCACAGACCATTTTTTTTTCACAATAAGGATTTTTAATATTCTCCAAAGGGTGTAAAACCACCAATGTGAACACCTAAAGGAAAAAGCTGTTGTTTTAAGCCATTTTTGGCGACTTGTTGGTCTCAAAAGTGACAAAAACTAACTTTCAGTTAAGCACATCTACAGATCCAAAGCTTTCTATTAAACTTTGCATGAAAACTGACGTAGCTTCTTCCCAACATTAGCGCCGTGTTTGTCTTTTCTTGTAACTCTCAAGTCCATCTGCACAGCCTAAGTCTTTTTCTGTGTTTCTTTTTGACTTTAAAATGATATCGCCATGTTTATGAATATTTAGGCGTTTGAGTGACTTCAGTATTTATGCTGGCAGAGGAGGGTCTGATTGTGCAGCTTTAAATGTCAGGTCAGCCTCTGGGGATCCTGGCAATGAAACCTTACAGGAGATTTTATTTATTTTTTTAAATCTCTGTGGATCGATCGACGGATGAATCGATCCGCCGTGTCTCTCAGGTCGCGCTTGAGTTTCATAACCCGAGTGTTTCATAATCCAGGCTTCAGTTGGAGCACAGACGGAGATAACAAGAGGAAGCAGCAGGGATTCAAACAGGTGGCCGTTTCAATGTTCCTGCCTCGACTTATGGGTTTCCCCTCCTGCTAGTCGGTAAAATTGAAGAACAAGTGAAATACTAAGATGTTAACATACGGCCAGACCGAAGTAGAATCCTTTTCAGACCTTCGACAAACCTCCCAATTATCTCTTGCTCGCTTCGATGTTGAATTACTTCAGTTTGTTTTGCTTCTCTGTGACCTCAAAATGCTCCCAAACACATGTGACGTCCATGTGATCGGTTTTGGAATTAATTTAGGGCTGTCTTTGCTTCATCTTTGATTGTGATTTTAAACCCGTCACAAAAAAGGCAGCATGAGAACAAACGCTTACGTAGAAAGTCCACTTTTATGATGTTTTGTCCATTTTCAGGCGTCTGAGCTTCGGTTTAAGGTCAGAGGAGCGTTGTGAGAGATCAAACCAAGCAACGGAAGGCTAAATTTTTCTGGCAGCATTAACCTTTTCAAGGTGTTTCTGATGCTGATTCTTGTCACAGAGAGGCTGAGCTGTGTTAGTCTGTTTCCAGCAGTGCTCACCCCCTGCCAGCACTTCCCATCAGATTCAGGTTAGAGGTCTTCACAGGTCTGGACCCAAACTCTTCTCAGTCTAATCGGGTTGGAAAGGGTCTCGTTTTCCTGCCACGGGTCTCTGCACTGTGTGTGAATATGTCCAATACCTGTGTGGATCCAAGTAATCTTCTTGTACTTATAATAACGCTGCTTGTTGGTGCGGGAGAGGGAGCTAGGGTTTTCATATTAACTGAGCTTCGAACCATTAAAATGAAATATTTATTCATAGCTGCTGTTAGAGCTTTATTATCACTATTATTATTATTATTATATAGCTGTTTTTCCCCCTCTGCAGATGCTTGTCAATTGATTGAATTGCCAGCGTTTTCTCTCTGTTTTGTGCAGCGCTACAGCTAATAACTATTTCCAGTGTCGATTAATCTGTCGATTATTTTCTTGATTAGTTGTTTGATCTATAAAATGTCAGAAAATGCAGGAAAAAAAAATGTTGATTGCTGTTTCTGGAAGATGACGTCCTCATGTGTCTTGTTTTGTCCACAACTCAAAGATATTCAGTTTACTGGCATAGAGGAGGGGGAAAAAAACAGAAAATATTCACATTTAAAGGCTGGAATTAAAGGATTTTGACTTTTTATTCTAAAAAATTGTTGTTTTTTTGTGTTAATTACAAACCAATTAATTGATAGTTAGATTAGATGACATCAGATTTAACTTTGTCATTGCAGCGAGTACAAGCACTACGATAACGAAATACAGTAAAGTGCATTATTCATAGTACGTTATATACAGCATGTTGCAGATTATCAAAACAGTTGCAGATTAATTTACTAGCTGACAAGTAATCGATTAATCATTGCATCTTTAATTTGGTACAACCATATTTCAGATGTGGTTTAATTAAGTCTTTTTGGGGGCTTCTGTCTGAGCTTGGATTGGGTTTTTGCAAAATTCAAGGTGCAGCCTGTGATTCTGGATATGAATATTGAGCTTTTCGGCATATTTTTATTGATTTAATCGCCCATTTTCCTCAATTTTCCAGATTCTGCAGCCACTGTGTTTTCTCATTTACAGAACTAAGGACGTGCACGAAAACCAGACCTTTTTTATTTTTTTATTTTTAGTGCACATACATAACAGAGAGCAAACAGAACACGATAAAATATTCACTGAATTTGACGAAAAGGTTGGGTTTGCATTGGTTGGGTGGAGCGATGGTGGTTTCTGATTGGTCAGACTGCCTAAGAAACCAATAAAACACTTTGATCCAATCAATACTGAAGCTACAGGTGGGAAACATTTTAGGAGAAGACTTTGAACATTATGTGGAAATCAGGCCACAGTGTTGTACCAATAGAGTAACTGTTTCTGGTAAAAGCTGCCCCAGTGATGTTTTCTTTTCAACTTACTGGAAGTTTTCCCTCCCTCTCAGGTCCGCAGCGTGAGTTCGGTGGTGAGCCGCCGCCGAGAGCAGCGGGTGCTGGTGATGGTGGTCACCATGGTGGTGTGCTACCTGGTCTGCTGGCTGCCCTACGGAGTGGCCGCTCTGCTCGCCACCTTCGGCCCTCATGACTTTTTGACCCCGGAGGCGAGCATCACGCCGTCGCTGCTGGCCAAGTTCTCCACCGTCATCAACCCTTTTATCTATATATTCATGAACAAGCAGGTGAGTGTTGGCTGCCACCATCTACGTTCGTGTGTCTTCTGGCTGTTTACGGCGAAGCAGCGTACGTGTATGTTAATATGAACCCGTCATAGTCTCTCGTATGTTGCTTGTTATCTAATTACGAAGCAGACAACCGAGCATTCCAGCTTAGATCATCAACGTCTGGACCAGTTAGTGTTGACAGCTGGGAGATTTAATCATACACTGTGTGGTGTCTAATTATGCATAACTAAACAGCAGCGGCTTGCATCACAAAGCTGGTTCTTATATTGATCGTACTTCCTGCTAGATATTAAACTTTAACTAGACCATTTCCCCATATGGTTTCTTTGTAGCTACAAGACGAGCTAATTGAAAACAAAAAGCACATCCGCTATCAGCAAGTGGTTCATGTATTGAACATGGTGATGCTGCAGCTGACATCCTTGTTTGCACCCTTGAATGCTTTCTGATTGCCGCCACAGATGTTGCTTAGTAAGACATTTACACATCACCGAAGGCTTCACCAGTCTGAAAGTCAAGGTTCAAGGAATATTTATTATCCCCGTGGCAACAGTGAAACAATCAGTCAGTGCAACAGTCACACAGAAACAACAATAAATAACAAAAAGACAATGATGAATGGAAAAAACAGATCTGGCGAGTTGTCAGGGTTCGAATTATGGGAGGTTTTCTTAAAGAGAATCTCCTCCTGAAGAAAAAAACAGGTTTATGCATCATAGGTAACATTGAACTGTTATGTTATGTTCAGGCATATTACCTTTAAAATCTCCAAGATTACACCGTTTACCAGAATCAGAAACTGTTAAAAAAAATTAAAAAATAAAGAATCTTTTTGAACTTTCCGACCGTCCCTGAACGTATCATGTGTAACGTGGTGTTCCATCAGGAAAGTTAATCATATCTGAGCTCAAAATTGTGATATTTCATCAAAATCACTTTATTCTACATGTCTTATTTAAATATACTCCAAAAATAAAACGTTTGCTCTAATTAAATTCCATGAAAACAAGAAATTCTGCGCTCCTTGACACAACTATGAAGACTCTAAACACTTTTTTTTGCTGAACTAGGCTGAACTGCAGGTAGTGTTTACATGCAGCAGAGAGGTATGAGAAAAAATGAAACATGCAACATGTAAAGTACCTATAGTATGTAGAGTTACCACTTATTTCCCAGTATACTGGTAGGATCTGTGGACACTTGGGAAAATGTTGTCCCGATTGATTCCAGGTTTTTTCAATTTATGCGAAAGAAATCTTCAGAGAAACTCAGCTGTTGTGTTTTCTTTATTATGGTACTTTATAATACCATAAAGTAGTTTAGTAATGCAAAAAAAAACGAAAAATAATTTCTGAGTTCTCTCTACTTCTAGCTGTGGTTGTGCTGCTTCCATAGGGGTGCAGGACTTTATGCTGCAGTTGGAAATGAGCTCACAGTGAGTAAAAAAATAAAATAGAATTTAAAAAAAAATCCCCAGAAGCTGCTTGAAGTTCAACTTATGGTTTGAGACTTCTTTAAAGAGATCAAACCGTTTCCATACATGTCTTCCAAAGTTGACTGTAAGAAAACAGCTGCTTGCTAGTGCAGTGGAGGTGTGATCATTAAAAACCAACTCAAACGATCAGAATCCGCAGAATCAAACTCAAAGCAGCAGACTTTCATGTGCTTCTGTACGTACGACAATCAGCGGCACGCAGACATGTTGCATATTTGCACACCAGAAAACCACGACGGCGACCTCCTGACAGCAATGAGAGGAGCTGCTTTGTTCATTGTGTTCGGCTGAACAACATGAAAAACGTAAAAACAGCGCGTGCCACCAATGAGCGGGACAGGACGTACTGTACAGACGTCATGAAAAACATCACGAGGACTCATGCATGTGGATTGAGGAACAATTAATCGCTGTTGAAGGTAACAACATGAGACTGGGAACATGCCTAGCACAGGCAACTGACCTTCTCCCAGCTTCTCTGCAGCTCCGCACTCGTCAATAACACCTGATTTACCACGAACACGAGTTTTCCTTTTTTTCATCGTTAAGGCTGCTTTCATGTGCCGTTATAAATAAATATTTTGAGGTCGCGTTCGTATTTACTGGCTGGAATGAATTCAGTTCTGCAGCCTCTGCACGCTCCCAAAGCAATTTTTAAATAACTAATTATCGTGAATAACAAATAAAATGTGAACACCCGCGACCCTGGTGAGGATTAAGCAGTGTATAGATAATAGATGGATGTGAACAAACAAACCTTGCTAAGTTACTCAAGAAGAGCCGCGACTCAAAGCTAACAACACAAACATGGTAACCAAATATGACATGTGAGTGAGAAAATATTATCTGGACCAAGTTTTGCCTCCTACTTTTTTTAAAAACAGAAGTCCTTCTCGTCCACACGTCTCCATCCACTCTGACATCCAAATTTTTTAACTTTATCCTTGAAAAAGTGGCATAATTTACCTGCTTTTACAAGAATGTCTGTTTCCGTTTTCTGCATAATTTTCATTTCCGACTCTTGTCTCGTGCATTGTTGTCAGTATTTTCACAAAGAAACTAGCCTTGAATTGTTTTGAATTGCGACTCAATAGCAGCAAACCGAGGCTAAAGAATCTCTTGTCCAACCTTTATCTCTCCTTGCTGATGAAACAGTCGGAACTGATTTATATCACTAGTTAGAAAACAACATTTCCAGCAGTAGATAAAATCAGATGTCGCTGATTAGCCCTTAATTCCATAAACTACTTGTCCTAAACCGAAGTTACAGATGAATATTGTCGCATTAATGCGCTCAATGAAAGCCAGTGTCTCTGCTGGCATGGTTGAATGAATTCGATAAAGGATGGATGGATTTGATATTAGATTCAAATGGGATGAAATACTATTGCGGCACCACGTTTCTCAGGCTAGAAATGGCCATTTGTTGTTACACTTTCAGGTTATTTTGGGGGGTAATTCTTCATCGTAACCAGCTTATTTAGCATTTCGAGTTGCTCATGGGTTAAGTTTAGACACCAAAACTACAGAGCTAGGTTTAAAATACTCTCATTGACCAGAATAACCACGTCACAAGGACGGCTTCTTGTTGTCTAAAGGAAGCAACAGTGATGGGAACAGCTTAGAAAATTTGTCTGTGGTCTCATGATGTCTGTTTCTGAAGTAAAGGGAGTTTTATTGGTCTAGCAGATCCCCGTACATGTTAAAAAAGTGATTCCATGGGGTCCTGAGAAAGTAATTCTAAGTAATGTAATATAAAATATGACTTTATAATACAAGCATTTATAATTATTGACATATACTGTAGATTAATAACCTAAAGGCTGCATTACAGTGTGTTGGGAAGCAATATTTTTTTGTGTTTTAGTTCAAATAGAGGGCTGCAAGGTGGTTCGGTGGTTAGCACCGTTGCCTCACAGCAAGAAGGTCGCCGGTTCGCATCCAGGTGAGGACACCCAGGATCTTTCTGCATGGAGTTTGCATGTTCTCCCCGTGCAGCGTGGGTTCTCTCTGGGTTCTCTGGCTTCCTCCCACATCCAAAAACATGCTGAGGTTAATTGGTGATTCTAAATTGTCTGTAGGTGTGAATGTGAGTGTGCTTGGTTGTCTGTCTCTAAGTGTAGCCCTGTGATAGACTGGTGACCTGTCCAGGTGTCCCCTGCCTTCACCCTGAGTCAGCTGGGATAGACTCCAGCCCCCCGTGACCCTCGTGAGGATGAAGTGTTGTATAGATAATGGATGAATGGATGATAGTTCAAATAGGTAGAAGACAGAAGGCTGGTATGAAGAACAACAAGTGAGATTTCTCCTGAGAAATCCAGGTTATAACAACAGACAGGCAACAGAAACACCAGGAAAAACTGGAGAATTCAGGTAAAAATACTTAAAAACTAACTAAACGTCACACCATTACATCTGTACAGTGTTTAGAAATGCTCAGTGGGGATGCATTAAGGTAAAGTGGAAGCTTTTTGGCTAAAAAAAAAAAAAAAAAGGAAAAAATCTTAACTAAACTCGGTGTAAATCAGAAATCATCTGTTCTGTGTGTAATTATCTGCTCCTCTTTATTTAGACAAAAGACCCGACACCCAGGGGAGGGCGCACGCAAACGCGCAGATAAAAGACGGAGCTGTGACATTATTATAATGGTGTCAAAGCCATAACGGCATCAACACTCCTCCGCCCCCCGCGCAGCTGCGATACACATCACTGACATTCAAGGACACTGCGCAGGAAAAAGAAAAGTCGAAGTAATCTGGTTGCTGCTGCTGCTGCTGCTGCTGTTGCTCCTAATTGACAGCAGAGCAAACTTCAAAGTGCTTTGTGCAGCATTTCAGCATCAATAAATCATTAAAGGAGTCATTAGTAGATTAGAATAATAACTGTAAACAAATACGAGCAGCGCAGGGAGGACGGCGTCACACTGCTTTTGACATTTTGACATGCAGGAACTTTTCTGCTGCTACCTGCACAGTTGCCCTCCCTCCTCATATTATCAGCATTATCATTGTTATCAGCTCCTATTGTTGCTCTGTAGCCCTCTGAACATCAGAATGACACACTTCATCGGAGCCAGAAACTGTAAGAACTGACAGAATCGTCAAAGTTTCAACCTCCTGCTTTTTTTTCACTACATGTCCCATTCACAAATTCACACAAAATTAACATTTTGCCCTGACCACATTGCGTAAAATAAAAAATAAAATTCTGCACTCTTTCATGCAACTGTGATGCTATTAGTGACTCAGCTGTGACTAACGGTCTCGTGACAAAAATTCTGGGACTTTTCAGTTGAACTGGGCTGAGCTGCAGGTAATGTTTACACAAAGCAGATAGGAGATAAATAGAATAGAATAGAACAAAACTTTATTGATCCCTTCGGGGTAGACCTCAGGGAAATTGTTAAATGACAAATAAATAAAAATATAAGAGTAAAATTTCTGTATTCTGTAAAAAGCCATTTTTTCCCCAGTGTTGTTAACTCATGTGGGCAAATGTTGCA